AACTGAAATACTTCCGAGATCGCTTGTATTTTCCAAATGGACAGCCTAACCTAATTCTCAATTACTGAGGGACAATCTTCACTCATTGATATATTTTGCTTTCCACAACCAAATCTCTGTACAACTTTTCATGAGTGATGTACCTGAATACTTGCATGCTATTATCTAAACTGTATTCTTAAATTTATTCACCTAAATTTGGGTTTTTGCTGATTATGATATGTATCATATGACTTTTAAAAACAAACTTTGTATTTGTGGATAATCTAAGCACTATACTCAGATGTACAGACAGTCTTTTGAGAGAGAGAGATACATTTTTACTAATATGTGTGAACAAATATTCTCTGTGTGTATATAAAGTCTGCTGCAGTTTCCACGGTATACATCTGATGAAGTGAGCTGTAGCTCACGAAAGCTCATGCTCAAATAAATTGGTTAGTCTCTAAGGTGCCACAAGTACTCCTTTTCTTTTTGCGAATACAGACTAACACGGCTGTTCCTCTGAAAAGACAGACATTGTAAATGTTGCTTTTGCCTAAACCAAATGGGTTTGTTAGTATAATGGAAACAGATAAGAGCAGTTAAAGTGTTACTGAGCATGGTAGGAATGTAATATATGAGTGCACACTTGAAGACTGCCTCAACTCCTTATCTCAAAGCAAGGTCAAGCAACTAGTCAGGAGGGGCAAGGGGGAATTTTAAATCTGTGAAACTGAATCTGAGTGAAAATATTTGCAGTCAATAACAAAATGCCTGGAATTTAAATCTCCTGTGGCAGCTAATATTTGCATGTTGACAGAGATGCAAGTCTTTTGCTGGAAGCTGGGGAGTTCAGGAACAAAGTTTTGCAGGTAGAAGTTGGAAGATTCTCATGTTTGTTCCCCCTAGAGTCAGTAAAAATGGAATATATCATTATCCTCCTGACCTGGTGTGTAGCAGCAGTTGTTACCAAAAGGCTAAAATTGCAGTTCTTAATATTACGTGGTAAAATCTGTGACTTAATTAAATACCCATTCTTTCAATGGCAAAATTGGAATCTAATGCTAGTGTGCTTTACTGCATCGTAACTAAAAGACTCTGATCTACCCTACCTGATTTTTCAATCATGCTTTTTCCTCATCCTCAAAATATGCCTTTAGCTCCCGCTGTTCCTTTCAGAATCCAGTTCAACGTTATTCTCTGGGGTTTTTAAAACCATCCTTTGGTCCAGCCTGGCAGGGACTCTGCTCTGGTCTTCTCTAGATTCATGTTGTTATGAGAAAAAATAAGGATTTTCTTTTTTAAACGGGTTTCTAGCCCTCATGGTTGCAGTGAAAAGCTTGAAAATTACAAATATACCCTAAAGGCTCAGAAACCAAAAGGCAAATAAAAAGAACCCAAAATGCATTTGTCTTAAAAATCAGGGGGTTTTTTTAGTCTAGTGAGGTGGTTTTAGGCCTGATTTGTGAGGCTTTTGTATGTTTGGGGTTGGCAATACTGTGAGTAGCCAGCATGGGATTGCTTGCCTCCTATTCCAGAATTAGAAGGAGAGCTTGTATGGCTACAATGTATCACTCTACACCCCAACTGGAAAAAATTGTTACCTGGAATTATTGGGGGCGGGGTGGGGAAGGGAGAATGTGTGCATTGAGACAGTTTGAGATGCAATATGGCCTAGTAGGTGGAGCATTCGACTGAGACTCAGGAGACCTGGCTTCTAGTCCTGACTCAGCCACTGGCTTGCTGGGTAATTGAGGCACGGAGTAGGGAAGCAGTTTCCCTATTTGTAAAATAGAGATAATGATACTGACCTCCTTTGTAAAGCATTAAGAGATTAAAAGTTCTGTATAGGAACTAGTGTCTACGATTTATTGTATTTGGCAATATGTTTTTGCTTGGGAAAAATTATTTTTCTTCAGGATTTTGTGGGAGGAAATGCATATATTTGGGGGAATGTACTTTTTCTTGAAATGCTCTTCTGGGGCAATTTGACGTTGGGAAATACTTTTACTTCGGGAGGGCGCTTTCATTTGGGCAAATGACTTTTCTTGAGGGGGATAATGCTATCTTCAGCATATTGTGGGACTGAGGAGGAAATGTGTTTACTTGGAGGTCTGGGAACCATTTACATTTGGGGCAAATGCTCTTTCTTAAAGGCATCTTTGAGCAAAAGGCTTTTACTTGCACCATTCGGGGGGGACATTTTCAGGGAAATGCAATTGTTTTAAGTGGCATTTTTTAAATTAAACACTTATTTTCTACTGGGGGGGGATGCTTATTGTGTTTTATGGGCAAGCACTTGGACCCCACACTCTGATTTCAGCAGGGAGAGAGGAGCGAGCTTAACTTCCTTCCCTCGTCCCACCCCCTCACGCTTCCTTTCCTCCCCCTTTCCTGAGTCATGCAGAAAGGTAGGAGAGGAGCGCACATGCGCACTGCTCCACTGCACCACTACAGCCGTTGTTTTAGCCGGCCAGGAGCAGGCTGGGACCGGTTTGAGCCGGATAGAACCAGCTATACAACTCCCCCCTCCCATCGTCTGAAATAGCTACTGCGCCACAAGCAACCCGTGCTCCCTCCTGCTAGATATCCCTCCGCCACTCAGTCTCCCTCCCCCCATGCCATTAGAGCGAGACTGAGTGTAAACACAGCACACAGATCCTAATCCCGAACTAAATGCCCACATTTCTGCGGCGGGGCGCTCAGGTCCAGGTCCCCATCAGATTTATATTAGGAATAGGCTCAGTATTAGAGCGGGGGCAGGGTGTACTACCTCAGAAAAGACTCCTAAATCTCTCGTTGTTTGGTTCATTTTGAACTGATATAATTTTGTTGTGAAGGGGATTGAATTAAGTTTAAGGGGCCTGGGCATTTAAAAATGGCAAGTATCTTTATGGAAACCATGGAGTAAATTTTACCTCAAAACTAACTCTAAAACTCTAATTTTTCGTTTATTTTTTTGTGGGTGAGACTTTGGCTTATTGTCAGACATTTAAAAAAGTTTGAGGAAAATTAACTCCTTAATTACTCAAAACCTCTGATTTTGGGGAGGTTTATTTTTGGCTGATGGAAGTTTTTTTGTGTGAAAGATTTTACAGAAAACAAATGTTTGCAGAGGGGAAAATGCTTTTACTTAATGGGAATCAAGAATTTGATGAACCTTGTCTTTTTTTTTAAGTGACAAATGAGATTCAAATTGGAGATTTTTCCTCAGAAATAAGTCTGAAACCATCAAATTTTGGAGTTGATTTTGAGGATTTTGTGAGAGTTTTATTAAATTGCTGTCTTAGGTGCCCTTGAATGTTGAAATGATCACCCACAAGCAACTGGAAAAGAATATTTTGCCCCAGCAATGATTTTAAAACAATCCCATAAAGCCCCCGGATTTATTTTGTGATAATTACAAACAACTTATCTAGAAATATATGCAAAAAGAAAAGGAGTAGCTCACGAAAGCTCATGCTCAAATAAATTGGTTAGTCTCTAAGGTGCCACAAGTACTCCTTTTCTTTTTGCGAATACAGACTAACACAGCTGTTACTCTGAACCTAGAAATATATATATCTATTAGGGTCATTTCACTAATTTGTAAGTGCTTGAAAAAGATGCACAAACAGGATTCAAACCAGAGAGAGAATTCACACACACACAAAATTTGCTTTTTGCTCAGAGGAAATCAGCATCAGACATAAGGGTTTACGAACCTTTATACAAATGTTGAGTTTTCCATACCATATTGTTTTCCAGCTATTATAATGCTGATCAGCCTTAATTTAAATGTAATACATTTTCCAGAAAAATTTAAAAAAGAACTCCGAATTTGAATGAATAGACCACACCTCATCCCTTTGAAAGTCTGACCAGAATTTAAAACAACTGGAATTTTTTTTATTAAGCTGCAGATATTATTTAAACTTTTTTTTGTTTTGTTATTAACGAATTTGATGGGTTTTCAAGATTTTTACAAATGACATCTACAAGTCAGTATTTAAAAGTCTCTTTGGGTGTATTTCTTTTCCTCCATCAGCAGCCAAAATGTTTGTCTCGCTTAAAAATAGTAATGGAAAGACAGTATCACCGATATTAACAACAAATACGAAGAATTAGTTTCCTCACTTAACAAATTCCTTATAAACATAATCAAAGCTACATAGTAAGACTTTTAATTTACCTTTTAAGATTTCAAAAGCATCAGTTTTTTCACAAAGCAACAAAATAAGTTAATGAAGTTTTTAAAATTGAACCAGTGAGGTTTTTTTTTAAAAAATCCTCCATTTGTTTGAGATGTATTTATTTTGAATAACGTGGACAAAAGCCCTTGCAACATACATATTTAGTAATTTAAATATTGTAAATCAGGCCTTATAGTGGATAGTACAGCAAAATGCTTTAGAATACAAACTTAATGGAGAACTTTTCTGCTTAAATATCAATGGCATTGTAAGGACTCAGTGGGACTGTGAATTTTTATTAAAACTCATAGAACTTAGATTTATTTGACCAAATGCCAAAGTCTCATACTGGCTATTGCAAGCGGTAAACAAGGAGAACTATTCAGGCACACAAGTAGGTAGGCTGGAAGTAAAATTATTTTCAAATGTAAGCTACATAACATTATTTCTCCATTAGTTGGAATCTGAAATATACACCTTTGATCGAAACCTTTAGCTAAAGGATTGTATTTGGCATTGTAGATCTTGTTTTTTACAAGAAAAAATGTAAGCTCTCTATGTAGGCCAAAATTTACTGTCATAGACACCATTTTGCTGCATAAGAAAGATATGTTCAGACTAAAGCTAGGTATGGTTTTATTTTTAAAAATGATAAAATTAACTGAGAACCTATTTTTATGCCTGGCTTTGTACAGAGGATTTATTCCACTCACCTTAAAAAAGGATTCAGTAAAATGGTTTAGGATCTTGTTAAAAATTCATTAGGGTGGATCAGTCTAATAAACCCATTTACAGAGAAAAGAAACTAAATTTCTCCAGTGAACTAATTCCTTTCTTCCTTTCTAATTAAAAACGAATAAATCCACTACATTAGTTTCAGAGAATGGACATTGAAAAACTTTTTAGAATTTTGAGGGATTATTTTTTTGTGTTGATGTTCAGGCAGTGCTTTCCCCTCCCCCTTAGCAGAGGAGGGGCGGAAGGAGATTCTATGCTGCAGTTAGTGACTCTGTCACCAGTCTATAAAATATCCTGCTGCCCATTTACTGTTAGAGTTGCAGGCAGGAGAGCTAGGGAGAAAGGGCAGGTGGAGAGGGAAATAAAACAGGGAAAGGGGAAACAGCCCTGGAATAGCTTTAAAAAACAAAGTTAACTAGATTAATAATCTATTGGAAACTATAGCTAATATTTTTTAAAGTAAATCAGTAAAGAGGGTTTTACTCTTAAAATATTAATTATAGTTTGATAATTAAAAAGATATGGTTAACTAATGTGCTACTGGTTTTTAAACCACTTAATGCTCTTAAAAACAGGAAATATGAAGATTTTTAATATGAAAGGCAATTGGAAGAGGAGAGAAGAATCAAAGAATAAGAAGTATTCAATAAGTGCAGGAGGGTGATCAGAGGTTTGGGTAAATGGTTGAAAGAAAATGGGCATTTTAAATGCTTCCAAAATAAAATTATTAACCAAGAAAATCTTGAAGATAAATTTAAGAAAAAACAAGAAAAAATATTGAAGATTTAAAAAAGAAAATGCTAAATTTTGAAATATAGATCTTGCATTTTAAAAAAAGGCAAAAGAAGAATTTAAAATTTGAAGATAATTGGGAAAGAAAAATTTAAAATTTGAAGATAAGAAAAAACAAGATTTAAAAAAATGAAGATTAATTTAGAAGCAAAACAAGACCAAAATAAAATTGAAGATAAACTGAAACCCAAAACATGCTTTAAGCCAGTTTGGGGTGGAAAGAAAAATTAAGAATGCTGGCTGTTTTAAAAACGCCAGATTAAGTCTGCTTCAAGCAGAAGAAAATATGAAGAAACAACGAGTTTTATTTAAAAAGACAAAATGATTTTTAGAAAAGAAAATATTAGAAACACAAGGTTTGGGAAGATGTTCAAGACAGGAGACTGAGAAGAGAGACGGTTGTGGTTTGTTTGTTTTTTGGTAATATTAGAAGGCAGAAGGTACCTTAGAAGAGGACCCAGGAAAAGAGAAGAGAGAAGGGGAGTTGCATTTTAAAGATGAGCAAAAGATCTATCTATATAGTAGATTAGTTTAAAAATGTGAAGTCAGGAGGGTGAAAGACTTAAATTGATACTTGTAAAATCTAAGGCGTAATATTTGCTGAAGAATTTAATCTTTTAATGCAAACTAGCTCAGTTTTTGTCAAAATCAAACTTACAAATTCATAGCATACTATAACTATTAATTCAAAGGACTTTGTGTATGAAAATTATTTCAAGATCAAGAATAATCTTTAAAAGGTCTATTTTTGTGTGTGTTGGACTTAGTGGAAAAAAATCTGTCTTGAGCTAAAACGTTTAAAAAAATTAGCTGATAAAGGACTAGAATAAAACCAACCATTTTACGTCTGATGCATTGACCAAGGCGGAATGTTGCTTCAGTGAAGCTAGAAAGACAGGATTTCAAGGAGCCAGTGCAAATTGGTGAAGTTAGAGGGGAAAAAAGAGCCAGTCCAAATTGGTGAAACTAGAGGAAAAAAGAATCATGGAAAACAAGATCAAGCAAGAAATTTTTGAAAGAATAGATACCTTTGCGAAAGGCCAGAAGGGGGAAAAATGAGTGAAGACAGCAATAATTTAACCTGTATAGTTGGTAACCTACTTTCTCCTTGATTTCTTTAAAATACTATTTTCTTTGCTATACTCTTCATTAATAGTAATTTGTAAAGGTACTTATTGTTATGAGAGGGGTTTGTTGGAGTGGGTCAAGTCGTGGTGTGTCGTAGGTTTTTCTCTTTGCAGGCTTATTTACTCATTGCATCTTGTCTGGAAACTAATGGGCAATCTGCCAAGCCCTGGAGAGTGTGGTCATCTTCCTGAGTGTTTAGAAAACTGCTGGAATTTTCCTTTCGGCTTTAGGAGTGGTAGCTAGCGTCTATATTGCTGTAACCCTACCCAAATTGGGGAAGTCGTGAGCCTGGTGGAGCGACAAGCATCTATGGTGGCAGTGAAGTGTAAGCAAATCACATAATATTTTTTAAAAGATTATTGCCCAGCAGAACAACAAACTTGTTCAAATCTTAAAATATTGTAGGTAATGTATATTATCTCCCATGTGTCTTGCTGTTCCTAGCAAGAGAAAATAAATGTATTTTTCTCATCTATTCTAGTGGGAAGGGAAAAGGCTTTTTTTTGTTAGTGTTGCTCAAAGTATTTTTTTTTCCTTGAAGGGAGGGGAAGGGACGAGAAACTTCTTCAGTTTTTTCCCTCCAGGTGTGTCTAGATCCTAGAGCCAGACGACTGGAGAGGTGACAATGTAAAGGATAAAAGAGAACCAGTAATCAGGATAAAACCTCTATTGTATTGATGATGGCAGTGGTTTAGAAATGTGATTCACCTGTATTGCAGCTATAGATATCAATCGAAGTGTGTGGAGAAACTGGCCAGACAGAGGGAAATGCAAGTTAATTATATTCTATTTTTATAAGTTTGGATTCTTCATAAAGTAATTTACATTTTTTTATTATCAAAGTATAAAGGTACCATTTTTGGGGAGAGGGAAACATTTTTGTGTATGTTGAAAAGGGTGGTGGTGGGTAGGGATAAAACAAGCTTGTTTCTAGACTCTTTGCAGATACTGTAGTTCCTATTGGCTTGGTTAGCAGTGTGGTTCTATCCACTGTGCTGTTGCGAGAACATTCCCCAGAGTTGGAGCAGCTTTTACCTTGGAAGAAAGGACAGTTTACCTAAAATGGAGTTGGAAAGTTGGATTGGAGCTTGTATTCAGGATTCATGGTCGTTCAGTCATCCTCTAAGGAGAATTTAAGAAGAGCTTGGCTAGTCCAGAACTTGAAAGTTAAGTTTTCTCTAGTAAACAAACAAAACAGACATACTTTGATACAGTATATATTGTACGTGTGTTGTGGGTGGAATTTTAGGTGCTGTTTTATATGGCTTGACATATTCGTGGGGGTGGGGCAACATAATTGTCTGTATGTTCTTCAGATTCTCTTCCTAAACTACAGAGACATCCATAACTTTAGAACTGAAAAAAAGAATGTTCAGCTTCAATCCTGGCAAGTAATTCTCATAATTTAGCTTTAAATTGTTTTTGTGGCAGTGCCCCATTGAGTAACTGGGAATGTTCACACCCACGTGTGTGTGTGTGTGTATATACTTAAAGCACAGGCAGTGCTAGAAAGAGAATAGACAAAGTTAAAATTGTAATACAGAGTAGCTTCTTTAATTTTTTTCCTGTAGCATAAAATTTACCAAAAATACTCTCTCAGAAGTGGAAAGCTTCCACTAGTCCAAATTAACATGGACTACAGATAAAACAACACCCTCATATCCTCTTGTAACTATTAGGGTTGTGGTGTCTAGACGCATATTCTGGTGCATATCTGTAATTCTGGGAATCCGTTTGAAACCTTGGACGTGGTGGTGTGTGGCTTTCTTTTTTTGGCATTTTTTTCCAGGTGCTTAATGTAACTTAATGCTACTGTAGAGACTTCAGAGAGAAAGAAGTTGCTTAATGACCCTGGTGTGTGATTCCTTCTGATGGTAGCTTGTGTATTTATCAAGTAAGATTCTGCTTTCAGTTGTCTGTAACCTAGAAATGTGGGTTTGTTTGAGTGTAGGAATTATACGTTTTTATTTAGATTTTTTTGTATTAAAAAATGCAACACAGTATGTTAAACCATACTTAAAATCCTGTAAAATGAGTGCACTTACTGTCAGAGTAAAAATAAATAAACCAAAAGACCCAAGAGCAGATCAGTTACCAATGTAAACACAGTAATTTTTAAATTAAAACACACTAATTAAAAAAAGTAAGAAACATAGTTGTAATGCGTTTAGTTTGAATGTGTCTTTCTTTTTGGGGGGGTGGGGCATGGTATGGGGAACAACTTTTGTCTTGTAGACATTTTTCAGATCCACCTTCAGAATCATAGCCCCAACGAGCCTGAGAAAATATGTCCTCATAAATGCAGAGGGAACAGCTTCTTGGCGAATGATAAGTAAAGGCAGAAAAGATTCTAATATTCCTTCCTACTTGATGGAGAAAGGATCCCAGATGTTAACAAGTGAAAATCCAATGTGTCTACCGGGAGGAAAAAAAAAGTATAAGCATTGACTATCCATATCTTATCAGAATATTTGCTCTAAGAAATCTCAATTATATGCAGTAAAGAGCAAATGTCCTTGAAATACATAATTTCATTAAAGCAGTGAACAACTACTTCCACAGCATTGCTATTAAATTGAAAGAAAATACGACAGAAAAAATGCATATGCAAATGCATATGGCTTCTACCAAACTATTTGGTATGAATATTACTACCTAAATCTTACGGATTTGAAGAAAGAATATGAATTTTATTTTGAAACCACAATCTAATTTGGGATCAACTTTCACTACTGTTGGATTTGAGAGGAGGCTTGTGCTGTGCTCCACTGTTTACCTGACACAGGTTTTCTGCACTATTAATGAGGAGTTTTGCTTCATTTCATCTGGGAGCTGAAAAAACAAGCAGGCATCTATTACAGATAAGTTTATCAATTATATCTGCAGATATTGCATGTTAGGGAAATGTACTTTTTAAATGCTCTGAAGCAGTAGACGCCGTAAACATCTGAACTGGCATTTCCCATTTCCAGCCTTTAGCAGTGTGCGGAATGGGTATGAGGGACTTAACCTACCCCTGTGCCTATTTGGGGCTGCACTTCCACTTTCTAAATTCCTTTCTCCTCTGTGCACAGACCACAGTTGGATAGTGCCCATCACCTAAAGGCAGACAAGCGTAGCAGCTATGCTGTGGTGCTTATGAACAAACATGATGATGTATATCTTCCCTTGGAGGCTGAGCCTACTCAGGGCCTACCCTTTGAGAGCCTGAAATGCTATACCAAACAGCACATTATGCTGCTAAAAAACACACCTTAATTTTTCTGCTATTTTGTAGCATTAAAATATTTGCAGAAAACATGGGATATTTAAAAAAAAAAACTATAAAGGCACCTTTTAATAAAGTTACTGATGTGCTCTAAGAATAGACAGTTTGTCTTCATTTTTATTAATAAAAATGTGCTGTCAATGTTCTTTGTGTGTGGTTAGCTCTGGGGCAGTGTGTGTGGGGGGGATTCTTCTTTAATCTTTCAGAATCTTTCTCCAAGAACACCTGATCTTAATTGGACGGGAGCAGAAATTGAACAGAAGACCGAAATTCTTTTTTATTCAGGCAGGAAAGTCTTTGCAGAATCTTTTCCTTCCCTCCCTCTCCACCCCTCTCTTCATCGAGACAAATGTAGATCAAGGTACTTGGCAATAGAGGTCCTGTAATTAAGGAAAGTATCTGCCCAAGGAATGATTTCTAAAATGCTTTAAACTAGACCAGTGGGGGCAAACTTACCAATTCATAACAAAGTAAAATTTTGGCAATAAGACTTGCTCTGTCTCCAGAGCTAAAGTCCTGTTAAAATTAAAACCGACTGACTTATTGATAGTTGGGGAAAACTTTTAACTGCACAATAATTTTTTAAATTTAACACTAGTCAGTTTGCATATTTAGAAATTTGCATGCTAACAATGCTTGCAACCATTTCCTTCAGTGCTAGTGACGTCTCATTTTCTACTTCCAATTAACGTTAGGGGGGGAATGGGCAATTTTTTTTTAAAGTATCTTTCTTTGTAGAAGCTTCATTTCATAATGTATAGACCCTGATGCATCCCTTCACGAAGCTGTTCAGGATGATTTTGCTTGACATGCCTTGGCGCTTTCTTCTGTTCCTCACACCTTGTGTGTGTATGTGAAGGCCCCCTACAGTGAGTTAAACCTCCATATCTTCAAACATTAACAGCATTATTTTTTTTTTTTTTTAAATATCTGGACTGTGCCTGGGGTAGGGTGGGAGGGGCTCACAACTTGTTCCAGCTTTTCTTTTTACAGACTTCACAGAGAATGCAGTGTCTGAAGCAGGTCTGGTCTGTTGGCAAGTAATGTGCAGTATGCTTGATCTGCTTGGGTAGAGCATTTGAATCGACTGAAATATGTCCTAAAGCTTTTGTCCATGTGTGGAGTAGTGATTGTTTGAAAGAAAAAAATACAGCTGAATGACAAAAGTGCCTGTTTATTGAAAGGAGCTCTTTACCCTTCGAGTAAAATCCCCACAGCTTTAAACAGTCGGTGTATGAGATCCAAGTTCCTTTGGCTGTGCTGCTTTATTTAGGTAACTGCTTTTTGTTGTTCCGTTTCTGAAGTGGGTGGGGGAGGGTGTACTGAAGCCTTTAGTCTCTTCCAGATACATCTAAAACATCTCATTGACAAGAAATAAAAGCTTCCAAACAAGCAGCAATCCTCCAGGAAACTAACTGGCAAGTGACATTTTAAATTCCACCAGTTTAGTGACCATTTTCAGTACCTTGCTTTTGTATGGGTCTCTTCCTTTATTGGTTTTTTTAACAGTTCTTTTCAAGAAAATACCAAAACAGGCCAGTTCCTCTTGATGGGCCACAGAAGCCAACCCAGTAAGAATAGTTCTTATTTACTTTAAAACAAAAAAATTGATTTTTCATGGAGTTTACTGGGAATTTGGGAGGGAGGGGAGGGCGCAATCTAGTTTTAAGATTACTTTTCACAGACCTGTAGAAGGAGCAGCCAGACACAAAGAATTGAAAATACCACAGTGGACAAAAAGCAAACAGGTGAATAAACTTTTCTGTATTTACCATAAAGATAAAAAGATTAAAAAAAATTGGAATCCCCTCTGCTCCCCACCCCACCCACGATAAAAAATGGGGACATTAACTTCTATCCAGCTTCATGCTGCAATTTCACCAATTTAAAATGAGAGACTGTATCTTTGAATCTTTTTAGGGATGTGGGTGGGGGAAAATGGGTTGAGACCTCTTTTGCTTAAGACTTTTGCAGGTGTCCCCATTTAAAGACAGAAAAGGCTTTAAAAAGTAGGAGAACCATGGACCTTTACAGACATCTTGTGACAAAACTGACATGACGACAAAGCAGTTACTTAAAGGTCACTCTTAAATTACATGAATTTATTGAAGGCGGTGGGGTTGCACTTGTAATATAATCTTGCATATACTGAGGATATGTGCTTCAAAGGATGCTCTTTGCATTAACTATATATTGAGCAAGTTAATACATTACTTTAAAAGGAATGTTGAGTACCTTCAGTGTACTTATAGCCATGTTATCAGTTCATGTAAACCCCTATTTAAAAACACTAACTTTCAGATCATGGCTTATACTTCTAAAATAAAATTATGTAAATACTTAAGGGAGGGGGAGGAGGGGATAAACCACAACCAGTTTTCGCTAGACTTTTTTCCAGAAACCTGCTATTCAGTACCTAGTTCAGACTACACACAGCGCTTTTCCTCTTGCTTCAGCTGGTAGCATGGATCCTTGTCACTGGTATGCGGTTTTCTCTTAAGGTAAAATTTTAAAATGTAAGTCTACAAAACATTGGGATAACGTACTTTGCCTGGAACTCTCCTAACTTTGGAAGCTAACGTCACATTTAAAAAATGTAATGATGCTTAATTATAAACTATTACTAAAATAGTTTTACCTTCAAATAACACTCAGAATAATATTGACAGGCAAAACTGTCCCAAAACTAAATAGTAAATCTAGACGTAACAGATGGCAAAATACAATAAAAACAAAACCAATAACTTATGGTGCTTTGGAGGAATGTTAGGGGGTGGGTGCCTGCCAATACTGGCTGTAAATAAACATTAGAAAGTAAATTTCAACTGTCTTCATTGTGAGGTGGCTTTTGGGAGGGCTCTTGCAACTCTCTGCTAAGACTTTTTCAGGTGTCCTAACAAATTCGAAATAAGTGATTTGTCAGAAGTAGAAGCTTAGATGAAGCAGATTTCTTCAGTGCTCTTTCAAGGTTTTTCTTTTCCTGAGAGAACAATCTGTTCTGTCAGGTTTTGCTTTTCACCTTTATTATATTAACTAAAAAAAGCAAAAGATGCTGGTGGTTGGCACTCCTGGTTTCCAGGATGGGGTTCAAATCCCTGCAGTGTCTTTGCTTTTCTTGTACCATAGAGGTGTAAATGCAGACCACTTCAGTGTGGGTTTTATAGGTGAGAGTAACTTTTTCATTGGGAAATAGAGGTGTTTTGTCTGGACAGACTGTACTTGGGTAATATTTTGCACTTAACATTTTATCTGTAGGTCACAGAGCAGTTCACAATGGTGGGTGTAACTCTTCACATTTACAAAAAGGGAAACAACTGATGCAGAGAGGGCAGTTAACAGCCAGTCAGTGACAGAGCTGTGACTTGAACTCAGGAATCCTAACTAACAATCCTCTGACTAGGGGAGTGTTTTTCAACCTCTTTCTATTTGCTGACCCCTAAAAAAAATTCCCCTTTTGGAATCTTGGACCACAGGTTGAAAACCAAAGATCTAATGGACATAGTATCCTGCTGTGAAAACTATAGTAGTCTTTTACTGTCCCTGGCCAGTCACCCTAAACAACAACTTGTTCATGCAGAAACCAGTTTCTTGTTGACAGCATTAAATAATTTGCCGTGCTTCTAAACCAGCTTCCTATTGACAGGTGTTTGGCAACCCAGGCATGGTAATGAACAACTGCAGAAACTCACTGAACTTCTAGCAAGTGTAGCAATAGATGTCTGCCTAACTTCTAAAAATTTTTAATTTAACTACATCTATGGCTAACTATTCTAACCAGATTGCTTTCAACAGGTGTTACTTAACTTCATTGCAATGTGTTAGAAGTTATGAGAGTTTTAGCTTGTGATGGCGATGTACAGGCAGCAGGAGATTCCAACTTATTTGTACTTCAACCATTTCACTATATGGGGATTTAAAAAATAAATCTGGAATGCAAAATTATGTGTTGTCTGGTGTCTTTCTTGAGGTGCTTTGCTGATTTATTATTGCTCAACTCTTACATAACAATACAGATAATAAACCACCTAGCTCATATGAGCTAGGGTGTGTGTGTATATTAGTGCTTTTTCATCAGTGGCTCTCAAATGCTTTTATCAAGGAGGTAAGCATTATCCCCATTTTACATATAGGGAAACTGAAGCACAGGAAGATGAAGCAATTTGCCCAAGATGAACCATCAGGCCAGTGGCTGACCTGGGAATAGAACCCAGATATCCCGAGTCTCAGTCCAGTTCTTTATCCATTGGCAACCCTGCCTCTCCTAAAGTGTATCTAGTTCTGTAGAAAATGAGTTTCAAATTAAGGTTATTCATAGCAAAAGTCTCAAACCCTGACCCCCACAAGACCTACTGGCATTGAAGAGTCTTAAAAGCTTGAACAGACAGAACTTTTTGGAACAGCCGTGTGCTTTTCTTAAGGAAAAAATATTCACCCTCAGTACACGGTTTTAAAACTAATGTAACTCACTAAAATAGGGGAGGAGTTATTGGATGGTAAATTGTAAAGGAACATTGATGCTATGTGTTATGTTTATTACATTTGTTAAAGAGCCCATGAGAGGCATTAGTGATGTTCTCTCAAGAATTATGACAGACAAAATATGTAAAAGCTAGAGATCATGATTGATAACACCAAGTTGTTCAAAACAACGATCTTTTCAATGTTAAACACTGAGGAAATTAGGCAAAAATGTGTCTGCTTTTGTCAATAATGAGGAAACCTGGTTCAGGAACATACAGTGGAGGATCTTGTAGTCTTGACACTACTTTAACTCCATTTAGTGTCACTTACCTGATCAACCAGTGCCCTAAACATTAGATGGGGCCCAAAATTGTCAAACTTGGGTGCTGAACGTTGAACACTTAAGTCAATCTTTAGACACCTACATAAAACTTTGATTTTTCACAGATGGTGTGTTACTTCCCACATTAATTTGGATCTGTGGGTGCCTACCACCTCTGAAAATCATGCCAATTTATTTAGGTGACTAACTTTAGACATTCATGTTTGAAAATATTGGATTTTTCCCCTTTGCTAATTTGCTAATTCTGTTATAGTTTATTTCTATACGTGAAGAAGAATAAGCTATACTGGCATAACTGTTTGAATCAGTTAACTCTTTCAGTACAAAAGTCACACCCCTGAGAGCAGGTCTTACCTAGTGAGTCATTTCAGAAATAGGGTATATGAAAAGCCACTCAATGTCTCAGTGTAAACTAGATTGCACACACCAGGGGTTCCTTACATTTCCACCATTTCACCCCCACAAGTTTCCTATGTGTCATCCTTCCATCTACCTCTATTTCAGGGATTCCTTGCAACTTTCTCCTACCCCAATGGCTAGGGCTCTGTGTCCCTCATTCAGATGTATGCCAGGGTCCCCAAGTCTCCCCACACTAGGGATTCTGTGTGCCCCCTGCCCCCCATTCCAGCCCTGTAATAAGGTCAGCAAATAATGCAGTAATGCATTTTGCAATTTACTATCGTACTTTAGGTTTCAGAGTAGTTCGCAATTTTTGGCATCCGATGAAGTGAGTTGTAGCTCACGAAAGCTTATGCTCAAATAAATTTGTTAGTCTCGAAGGTGCCACAAATACTCCTTTTCTTCTATCCTACTTTGTAATTCTACCCTGCCTGATCTCAAGGTACTTCACACTCATGAACTTGGCGTCCTAACAGTTTACCTCTGATACTACTTTGAGATTTCAGTCCCACTGAGCTAGGTGTTGTGTACACATACATAATGAAAAGACAGTCTCTGTCCCAGACATTAAGAGGAGAGAAAGTAAATTGATACAACAAAGGAAAGAATGTCACAGGGAAACTATTATGATTAGAGGCTAATAAGCAATGGCTGCAGCACACCAACTACCTAAGCATTCTCATGTGATTTATAGAGAGCATGTCAGAGGTGAGAAGAAATTTGGAGGAGGATAATGTGTTGCCTTTGCAGAATTTTATGGGAAACTCTGCCTGTGCACAGGAGAAAGTGCAAAGATGCCTGCTGTGTATGCATGTATGTGTGTTTTTTGTACACCTGTGCTTGTGTATATACTTGTGTTTGTGTACCTGTGTCTACTTTTATATGTTTGCATACCCTGTGTGTGTGAATATATGTGTTTGCATGCCTTTGTGTGTGTGTGCATGCACATTTGTGGACACGTTACATACCTGTGTGCTTAGGTGCATGTGCATATTTATATTATATGTATATGTGTTTGTGTGTCTACTTGTGTCCTTATGTGAGGCCTGGTTTATGCACAGATTTTATACTGTTGGGGAGAGAGGTTTTTTACCCAAATAATTATACCAGTATAATACCTAGTTTGGATTCAGTTACACTGATATAAAGGTGCCTTAGGCCAAATCTACAACAGAAGCTCTCTGACTGTATAGCTATACTGGTATACTATACCAGCAAAGCATTCCTAGTATGGACACAACTTATACCAGCAAAACGCTAGAGGCTTCTTCCTGCACAGCTGTGTCAGTCAGAGATCAGGCCCCTGACTGGCATAGCTATGCCAGTAGAAGTTTGTAGTATAGACCTGGCCTTATACCAATATAGCTTAATCCCCTTCCGATATATGAACAGCTATATCATAATAAAGCACCTTTATACCAGTATAACTGCATCCACACTAACATGGTTGTACAGCTCTAACTATACTGGCATAGTTAGAGGCATTTGTGTGTGTCAACAAGCTTTGAGAGAAGAGGAAATTGAGGCACAGAGAAGATCTTGCACCCTTTACTCGTGTGTGAAATAATCCCATTCCCTTTAGTGGGATTTTCTGTGTGAGTAAAGATTACTCAAGTAAACCATGCAGAATTAGCCCTCCAGGATCACACAAGAATTATGTGGCCATCTCCTGAGTACTCTGGCTCTGAGCTCCCTGTTTCAACCACAAGGTTATCTGGCCCCTTAGATGCAAGTGTGCAATTCCCCTGGCTTCCTTGCCTCTCAGAGTTAAATCAGCGAGAGAATGTCACTGTTCAGACCTTTGATACGGTCCACAAAGCTGCAGAGCCAGATGATACTTTAAAACATGGCTTCTGGCTGTCAGAGGGGTAGCCGTGTTTGTCTGTATCCACAAAAACACCGAGGAGTCCGGTGGCAACTTGAAGACTAACAGATTTATTTGGGCATAAGCTTTGGTGGGTAAAAAACCCCACTTCTTCAGATGTATGGAATGAAAATTACAGATACAGGCATAAATATACTGGCACATGAAGAGAAGGGAGTTACTTTACAAGTGGAGAACCAACATTGACAAGGGCAAATCAGTCAGGGTGGATGTGGTCAACTCCCAGTAATTGATGAGGAGGTGTCAATACCAAGAGAGGGAAAATTGCTTTTGTAGTGAGCCAGCTACTCCCAGTCCCTATTCAAGCCCAAATTAACAGTGTTAAGTTTCAGAGTAACAGCCGTGTTAGTCTGTATTCGCAAAAAGAAAAGGAGTACTTGTGGCACCTTAGAGACTAACCAATTTATTTGAGCATGAGCTTTCGTGAGCTACAGCTCACTTCATCAGATGTATACCGTGGAAACTGCAGCAGACTTTATATATACACAGAGAATATGAAACAATACCTCCTCCCACCCCACTGTCCTGCTGGTAATAGCTTATCTAAAGTGATCAGCAGGTGGGCCATTTCCAGCACAAATCCAGGTTTTCTCACCCTCCACCCCCCCACACAAATTCACTCTCCTGCTGGTGCTAGCCCATCCAAAGTGACAACTCTTTACATAATCAAGTCGGGCTCTTTCCTGCACAAATCCAGGTTTTCTCACATCCCCCCCCACCCCCATACACACACAAACTCACTCTCCTGCTGGTAATAGCTCATCTAAACTGACCTTTGCAAATGAGTTGTAGCTCTACAGGTTTCAGAGTAGCAAAGGAGGACTTGCAGCAGCTTAGGGACTAACCAATTTATTTGAGCATAAGCTTTTGTGAGCTACAGCTCACTTCATCGGAGTTTCTCTTTGAAGTCTGTTTTTGAAGATTTTTTGTTGAAGGATGGCTACTTTTAAATCTGTTCTTGAATGTCCAGGGAGATTGAAATGTTCTCTTACTGGCTTTTGTATGTTACCATTCCTGATGTCTGATTTGTGTCCATTTATTCTTTTATGTAGAGATTCTTTAAAAGTGACATTCTAGAATAAAAAGTCATACAATCATTTTCTATTTTCATTACATTGGTATCTCCAGTTGAAACCAGAATTTTCTGGAATCATTGCTCTGTGTGTGAGATGCTTCCTCTTGCTTGGACAGCTCAGATTTAGGAAGGAATAGAAATCATCTGCATATCTTTAGCTCCTTCTAGCTATCAAAGTCAGAATTGCAATGCATGATTCAGAATGCTGCTTCCTCTCACTGTGCATGTAGTTCCCGTAGCTCAACACTTTTTAGACCACAGTGTACAGTGAGGTTCCTGGGACTTCTGAAAAAGGAGGAGCAGTTGGGTGGGCTGTCAGAGAAATAGCCTGGGTTTCAGTTAAATAAAGTTGGTAGTTAGAAAGCCTGGACACAAAACCAATTAGTTGTATTTATTGTGTATACTGCAATAGCACTTAGGAGCCTCAGTCATGGACCAGGACCCCATTTTGCTAGGCACAGTACAAACAAGACAGTCGCTGCCCCAAAGAGCTCACAATCTAAGAATAAAACAAGGGCCAACAGATGTACAAGGGTGTACAATGAGACAATATCAGACAATCTCAGTACCACAGGCACCGACTTTCCAAAATGCCGGGAGGTGTTTGACCCCTGGCTCTGCCCCAGGCCCTGCCCCCAATCACCCCTTCCCCCAAGGCCCCCCCGCCCCACCTCTTCCCACCCCTGCTCTGCCCCCACCCCACCTCTTCCCGCCCTGCTCTGTCTCTTCCCGACCAGTTTTGTCCCCCTCTTCTGAGCGTGCTGTGTCCTCACTCCTCC